AGGCCTTTAAATTCTGCATTTTTTCAGGTAAATTTATCCATTGAGTATACACGTATATAATTGAATATACGTGTACTCAATTTTATAACAAACGTTATAACAGTAACTAGCCAAATTATTGCCAATTGAAGCAAATACAATTTTGATAGAGAGGTTATGCAGAAAATCAGGCAGTTCTTAAGTACCGGTAATGTAAACAAAATTTTATCGTTGTAAAAAAAATACAGAAATTTTTTAACGTACTGGCAACAATGGGTAGTACCATGCAGACTACATTATCATTGACGAAGATCAACATGGACAACCTAATGCGGCTATAAGTGGGAAATATTTGTAGAATACATCTAAAAAACTAGATCAGCTTTTAAAAAATGATAAAATATTTACAAGAAATGTTGATTATATGGAACTGTTAGGTACGTGATCTATAAGTTGAGTCTTTTAAACTCATCGGAAATTATGACTTTTATTAGGTTTTAAATAAGTTATTTGTTTTTAAACAACTACCGTACTTTACTTCATCGAAATTGCTCGATTTCGAGCAACATGTACACTTGTAGTAAATGTTTCATTTCAACCAAGTGTTTGTAGCAAACTGTTAAACTGTCAAACTTCCATTACTATCCAAACTATCCATTATTTCGTAAATTGCCCTTTAAGGTCGTAATTCATTTCTAAAGCGAACTTTCCATATACCTAATGTTAAAAATACCTTAGCTGTACTTATTTGTTTGTTATTCTTTCAATTTATTTCCTTATTAAAATAAGTGTGATTTTTTTTGTATTAGGTACTGTATTCTGTGTTGAAACATGTAGCACATGAAATGATTGATATCACCCCATTTTTCAGGATTCTCTACGGAGAAAATTCGTTTGAGTATTTTGGTGTATGTCTCAAATCAAAGAAATAAAATGACTCTACTTAAATTACTTAACACAGGTTATAAGTAAGGCATATAAGGTTTTCTTAAGTTCTCGATCCTGGAAACACTTTGTTGCAGCATGTTACCTCGAATTGAAGCAGATCGTTTAGCATTCATTAGAAGTCATCAGTTAAAACTGAGAGCAGAAATACCGGTAATGTAAGTGAGCCTTGACCACGCAAATAGAGATATTTAAAATTAGTTTCTAATAAGTTTTTAAACAACTGTAAGATGTAACTAAAACTATTCAAATTTAAGCTTAATGTTTTTCTTGGCATTATGTTTCATACTATGCGGCTCATTGAGCCTCACGGGTTCTCTAGTACCATACAATAATTGAAAATATGATGTCATTTTGAAAAAAAAATGACAAAACTACAACATAGCAGCGCATAAATAAAATATTATTAAAAGCAACAAAGATTAACAATCCATTGAATAAATGAATGGAAAGGGCGTTCCTATCATCCCACAATACGGCGGAGTTTGCAAAAGGTATACTAGTTTTTGCAGGCGTTGTTTCGTATGGTACTCAGCCATACATATACAATAAGTGCCGGCTATGTATAACAAGCTTTACTTTTACATTGATTTCCTTTTGTAAAATCAAATAACTCAATTGTTAATATAAGTGTAGTAAGAAGATTCGTTCACTTCGATCACTCATCTATTATTACAATTAATACAATAATAGCATTCCCTAAAAATTTAAGTTGCCTTTTTAAAAATAAAACTTATTATGATATCTTCTGGCCAAAAGTTTTAATTATCGTTCTGATTTTAAAATATTTATTTAACATTACAAAGTTTAAAGTAAATTATTCACCTACTATAGGAGGGTTTCGAAAAGGGTAATTAACATTCAAAAAATACAAAAGGATTTTTTTTATTTTAAGAAAATAAGTAGAAACCAGATTTATTTATCTTAGTGGCAAAAATGCTATACAAATATATAGCACGGGTTACTTTTGTATAAGTCTTACTCTTATCCCATTTAAATACTATAATAATGATAGTATCAATAAACAAATGCATATTAGTTATGTAAAGGAGACTTTGTCCTGACCGCACCAGCCTAACAGATGCGTTGGCCACTGGCAACAAGGTCTACCGGCAGCAAACACGACTACATCCCCTTCACCCGTCACGGAACTGGTTTAGCTCGGACATTTCGCACCACCAATCGTAGGTCAGGTTGGTGGTCGTAGACCTTGTTGGCCGCGGACCTTGGCGCGTCCCCAAACAGCTGTTAATATTTAAATTGTGTTTTTCTGAATTTGTCAAAATGAAGTATTTGCTATGGTTTTTTTCTGATTTTAGAATCAATTTTCTTCTGCATCGTGTCATGTTTTGCAATATAATTTTCTATCGCAAAATCAGTGGGAAATCCTTATATCACAGTAACTCTTAAAATAATTTCTTATGGAGTTAACTTATGTCTATTGTAACTTATTGGTCGGTTTCTGCATTTTTTACCACTTCTTGGAGGTTGTACGTAGGCGTTTTGCATGTAGATGATGTTCTTTGGCGTATTGCATCTGTAGACGATACTTGGGTTGGTGTAATTATTACAATGGAAAAAAGCGAGAAATCCTGGAAAATTTAATTGATATAGGCCTACTAAAAATATAACTGAATTAACACTGCTACATTTCTTGAGCAATCATTGAAAGAGCCGATTTGCAAACAATGGAAACATATAAGAATGTCATAGAACACAATCAAATAGAAGAAATAGAAATAATGTTTTTTCCTTAGTTTATAATCGTTAATATATAATCTAATGCGACTATGAGTGGGAAACATTTGTAGAAAACTCTAAAAAACAAGATCAGCTTTTGAAAAAAAGATAAGATAGTATTTACAAACAATTTTGATTATATCTAACTGTTTTGTACGTCGTTAACATCGTGAGTATTTCCATAATCTTTGATTGAGTTGACTTTTATAAAGTTATCGGAAATTATTCCGTTATTCGTTTCAAAATAACGCCTGTAATGCTTCGCAATTGCTCGAATTCGAGCAACAGGTACACTAGTCAATATTATAACGGAATCCTGCTCTTCAATGCTTTGCCGAATCATCTAAAAATTGAGTCAGACCCTGTCATTTTTTAAAAAAATCTCCGGAAATTACTAATATCTAAATGCTATTACCATGTCCGTGAGTTTATTGCTGACGGGCAGTCTTGGGCATAATGGGCCGTATTAATAAAAAGAAGGATATGCTCAAAAGGAAAAGGTATGGAGTATAAGCATTTGCTTCTAGTAAAAGGTAGAAGTAAAAGCATATCCTTCAAACCGTATTAATAATGATTACCTTTTCCTTGTGAGCAAATCCTTGTGCTTGGAAGTAAATGGTCCTTTAGAAACAACACATGTTAAAACATGTTAATCAGCTGTTTACATTGTCGAGCTTATTAGTCAGGTTAAATATATTTCTAAACCTGTCTATTTTTGTCTACTGATATCCCTTGAAGTCTTAGCTGTGCCAACGCTGTGTGGTGGTTTTGTATCCGGTTTTAAGTTTGTGCAACGATTAAGTGGAAGCCTAAAATGTATTCAAGTGAAAGTGAAAATGAAAATAGTAATGATTGTACTGGTACAAATGAACTAAAGTTTATCGCCGATGAAGTTCGAGCCCACCCGTCAATTCTGGCAAAATCACAGGTTCCTAGTATGAAGAGAAAGAAAGACTTAGCAATATCCCAAGTGCTGCAAAAGTACAAAGGCATATTTGGAAAAGATATAGACGCAAAAATGTTACTAAAAAAGGTGAAAAACATGAAGACGAGGTTGAAAAAGGAAACTGATTTAAATCAAACGGGGAACAAAAAAATCAAATTGGTAGCTTGGGAACAACAGTTACTTGCAGCGATGGAAGGTGAAAACAATCCAGTAATTACCAGGATTGAAGGTAATTTTTAGTATGTAAACACGACAGTCTCACAAAATCGAACAGAGTTTGTCACAATCGAAAAGTTTATTAAAATTTATGGTATATAATATCTATCGTTAAAGTCAAACACACTGTTCATTTTACATTTTTAACTAGTAATTATTGTTAGTAATCCAAATTCAGCGTTTCCATGCTTCAGATTCAAACCTTTATTTTTATAATTATGAAACTATACCAGTTGGCGAGATCGCCCGAAATATGTAAGATAAAAATACCTTAAAAACAAAAATGTATACGTCTAATAACACTTGTAATTATTTCACACTTATACTGTTGACTTACAAGACGGTAGATACATATAAAAGTTGGTAAGTGGTGATCGATTTCGATTGGACACTCCATCGAAAAAGAAAATGATTGAGTGTCCAATCGAAATCGATCGCCACTTACCAACTGTTATATATATTTACCGTCTTGTAAGTCAAAAGTATTAGTGTAAATATATTATTATAAGTGTCATTAGACGTATATATACTTTTGTTTTTATGATTCTATTTTAAGTAATTTTCTAATTTAACCCAAGTTGAATAAATGGTATATTGTTCATTTTAAGATAAAATATATTTAAACAAATTATATTAATACAATTCTAATAACCTTATTGAATGGTATTTAGGCTCTATGCAAATTGGAGTAAAAAAGCCAAAATTTCCTGAAGGAACAGTGGGAACCTCATCATCATCATCAACTATTAGTGATGTTTAAATGTTTGAAGATGTTCAAATTGATAAGGTAGTCGAGAGAAATATGCCAATTCCAAGAAAATCTCCAATAGATCAATTCGAAACGGAAGAAACGAGAAAACTACCGACTAAGGAGTTGCAGCGGTTAGTTTTGCTCCACCAACTCAAAACAGCAAAACTGCAGCAAGATTATTACAGTAAAAAAATTCAATTGATGGAAAGCAAACTATTTAATGTAAACACAAATGACAAACAAACAAATATTGCTGTTGAAGGTGAGAAATGTTATGCTATTTTGTAGTGAAAGTTGTATTATTGTTTGTACAGATTAGAAATTAACATTTAGCTTAAAATAACATTTAATTATAAACTTGTTTAAGAATATTTAAAATATTGTTTGATGTGTGGGTTTTGTTACTTAATAAAATTGTCTTTCTTAAATCAATTGACTTATTATTTCAGCCAAGTTCCTTCTCACTGCTTGTCCTTCGTGACGCAGATTACCTCTGATCTCTGCATCAGCCGCAATATCGCCCAAGTCTTCATCCTCTTCAAGGATATCCTCATCGTGTTCAAAATCAGGGTCGCCTAAACTTTTTGCAATATTGTGCAACACAACACAAGCAACTATGATTTTTGGTACTTTTTCAAGTTTGACACGACACACATACTGCAGTATTGGAAATCGCCGCTTCAGCTGCCCAAAACACCTTTCTATGACCACCCTTTCTTTTTTTAACAACTTATTAAATTTGCTTTCACTTTCGTTATCTAGAACTGAGAACGGTGTCATCAACCAAGGCTCTAAACCGTATCCGTCATCCCCTATTAGTACAGTGTTACGTGTTGTACGCATGACCTCTCTAACTGGAGAATTTTTCCAAATTCGGGCGTCATGTACGGAACCGGGCCAACTGACATCAACACTTGTGAACATCTCCTTGCTGTCACATGTCGCTTGAACATTAAGTGTAGGCTTGTTTTTGCGGTTGATGTATCCCCATGAAGTCTTGGTTTTAATACTCCTACATGTGTACAATCAATCACTCCAATTGCTGTTGGGAATTGGTATTTATTTTGCCATGATTCCTTAGCCTGGATTATTTCATCAAGAGTAGTGGGGAATCTTATCCAGTAATCAGCCTTCTCAACAATTTTATCGACCACGGCACTCACGGTTAGCGATACCATGCTTTGCGATACCCCAAGTTCCTCTCCGATTCCACTTTGATATCCTGGATTTGCCAAATATCGTAAACATACCTTCATTCTTTGTTCAGATGAAAGAGCGCCTCCTCGGGATTCATCAACCTGGCCTAAAAAGTAGTTTGATAACCACTGTACATTATTTTCTTCAAAGCGAAATAACATTTTAAAGTCTCTGGTTTGTGGGCTTTTTCGTTCTTTGTAAAACTTAACCTCTCTTACGTTCACTACCTCTGCCATGTTGCACTAAACACCACCACACACCTTTTACTTCAACGTATAATCTGCTACTGACCAGATGCATCATGATTGAAGGATTTACTTCAAAGAAAAAGTAAATGGTGAGTTTTATTAATAACCATTTGCTCAAGTCATGAGCAAAACCTCAAATTTCTATAGATTACCTTTTACTTCTAAAGCAAAAGGTTTTGCTTTAGTTTTTATTAATACAGATTGAAGGATTTGCTCGAATTTTCGCAAGTAAAAGGTTTACCTCATCTTTATTAATACGGCTCAATGGGTGAATTTCCAAAAAAATTAAAATGTAAATAGCTTATGGCATGTAGTATAAGGAATTTTGTAAATATTTGATTTATTACTGTTGACATAACCAATGCATGTAAATTATGTAAATTTGGTTGAATAAATTACTTATGACTTATTACTTATAAAATATGTTCATAAACAAGCAAACTACAACAGTTATTTATTTTCCATCAGAATAACATAGGGATTTTTAATTAAAAATTGTTTTGAATTTTTTCCGTAACCATTAGGCACATAATAATGCTTGAATATACTAAATATTTTTTAAGCTCTACTAAATAGTTTGGAAAAAAATTAAAAAAATTCATGTTTTTAGGGCAAAAATGGGAAAACCCAATTTTTACCATAAATAACCACCGTTCCCATGGTCCGATCATGCTAGTTCACAAACTCGTTCGAATAAGTGTAGGTTTACACTTTTATACAAAATTTCATCAAAATCGGATCATTTTTGCTCGAATTATCGTGCTAACAGACACACACATAGCCTATATGAATTTGAACGGACGGTGTTTTTGTCCTCTAGTCACCTCAATACAAAATAGTAAATCGGTCTGGGGTTCAGGTCTTACCATGAGTACCACGGTAATAATAGCTTATTCCCTATATGGGAAATTGGCTAAAAAGTATCATAATGATATTAAAGACTAGATTGTGCTGTTGTCATAGGACAAATAGGAATACAATTACCGGTACACTTTTGAGTTGATTTCATCTACAAATTACCACCAGTGTCTAATGTACTAACTACCATGCATGCAATTAATTAACAGTATTAATGTACCAATTGCAATTTTTATTGTCAAACAAAATCTAGGTAAGGAAAATACTTTAAAGCATAACAATAATATTCAAGCGCACAGCTGATTTCTAGTGTTGAACGTCGGCTCCATAGAGGTATATTTTTTTAAGTTAAGCACTCAATGTTATTTAAATGGGTTTTATTACCTCACCGAGTGAGTTTTTTTCAACTTTACATCACTCGAGAAGTAACGAAGTTGTATACATCACGCTTGGGAGAGGGAAGTTTAACATGGTGGCTTAGGTAAAATATTACAACATTCTTCCCTCCTTAGGAATGAAAGTAGTCCTTCAAATAGACAGGAAGCTTCCGAGGTCTATTGCTTCTTCTAATGGGCTCGTTGTTATTTTTAAACTATTATCTCTACTATTGGATTCGGATAGTTGGACAGTAGGGCCAGAATCTTGTAAAATAGGAGCATCAGTAGTAGTTTCGTCAATCTCGTCCACATTTAGTCGGTAGGTCTTTATTTTCAATGTCTTGCTCATGAGCTTCACTCACCTCACCGAAAGGAGCTAGATGGTGTGTTGAAACAATAGTTTCTCTTCCATCTGGATATCTGATATGGGCGTATTCGGGATTTCCTTCTAAGAGTGTCACTTCTTCTACTATAGGGTCAAATTTTGAAGACCGGTTGAATTTACGTAGAAGAACGGTGCCTGGTGTTAAAAGCCAAGATGGAGTTGATATGCCATTTGCAGAACGTCTTGAATACCAAACATTCTTTCGTGAGGGGTGGTATTTGTAGCCGTACACAACAATGAACGAATAGAGTGAAGAGCATTCGGTAAGACTTCTTCCCATCGAGTAATGGGTAAACCAAGATCTTTGAGAGCTAGTTGATCAGTTTTCCAAATAGTACCATTATAGCGTTCAACTTGTCCATTTCCTCTAGGATTGTATGGGGTCGTCCTGCTGGTTGCAATGCCCAAGGTCATGAGCCACGTTTTCAATTCTTGTGACATGAATCCTGAGCCTCTATCAGAATGAATGAATGATGGAGCACCGAAAACACCAAACAGTTGTTGAAGACATGAAATAACTGAAGATGATGAAGTATCACGACAAGGAAAAACAAACGGGAAACGTGAATACTCGTCTATCACAGTCAGCATGTACTTATTTTGAGAACGAGATGAAAGTGGTCCTTTAAAATCAATATTAAGCCGCTCAAAAGGGGCTGAGGCTTTGATGAGAGTGCCATGGTGTTTATAGAAGTTTGGCTTTACTTCAGCACAGGTACGACATGTAGATGTTATTCGACGCACGTCTTCTACGGAGTAAGGAAGATTCTTGGTACGTATCCAATGGCCAAGTCTTGAAACTCCAGGGTGACATAGTAACTTATGGAGAGAGATAAGTTTTGCATCAGTGGAAGTTACAGTAGATGATACAGAACTGACTCTAGATAGAGCATCAGCTGCGTGATTGTCTTTTCCCGGACGATACACTATGTCATATGAATAGCACGATAGATCTAGTCTCCACCTTGTAATCTTCTCATTCTTGATCTTACTCCCATGTTTTAAATCAAACATGAATGCTGCAGATCGTTGGTCAGTGATGAGTCGAAAGTGTCTGCCTAACAAGAAGTGTTTCCAATGTCTCACAGCCTCAACTATGGCATAAGCCTCCTTTTCGACAGAGGAATGGCGTTTCTCTGAGTCTGACAGAGTTCAGGAGAAGAATGCTACCGGTCGATTTTGTTGACTAAGAGTAGCGGCTATTGTAGTATCTGAGGCATCTGTCTCCACGCAAAATGGAACCGGAACTTCATTATCTATACAGTCCAGAGACGCTTTCTCTTTTATCATGTTTGAGATTCTGGAACGATGAAAGTGCTTCTTCAGATAACGGAAAAGAACCTGGTTTTAGGAGCTTAATCTTTTCGGAAAAGCAGGGTATGAACTTGGAGTACTGAGAGAACATGCCTAAGGCTCTCTTTAAAGAAGCAGTAGTATCAGTGGGTGGGGGAAACTCTAAAAGTGACTGAAATCTCTTAGGATGAGGTCTAATAACACCATCACTGATGGAGTGACCTAGTAGGGTGATATTGCCTAGAGAAAATGAGCTTTTCTCATGGTTCATAGTTAAGTTGTATTTAGAAGCTGTTTGCATATAATTTTTCAGATTTTCATCATGTTCAGTTTGAGTGTGACCACAAATTGTTATGTTATCAAGGTAAGCAAGTGTATCATTCAATTTTTCTTTTCTTATAATGTGATCCAAGGTTCTTTGAAAAGCAGCAACACCGTTAGTTGTACCAAAAGGGATTCTGGTAAACTGGTATAGTTCCCCAGTAGGCTCAAAAGCAGTGTATAGTCGGTCTTTTTCAGGAATAGGGACTTGATGATAGGCACTTCTCAAATCTATCGTACTAAAAACTTTGTAACGAGCAACTTTAGAGATTTTAATGGAAGGGATTGGGTAGGCATCCAATTCTGTGAAGCGGTTTATTGTTCTAGAATAATCTATGACCATCCTTTTCTTGTGATTTTGTGAAGAAGAAACAATAAGCACTTGGGCACGCCATGGTGAATTGCTCTTTTCAATGATTCCATTATTTAACAGCTTATTCACTTCTGCTTCAATGAACTGAGAATCGTTAAGTGAATGGCGAATGGATTTGATAGCTATAGGTTTACAATCAGAAGTCATTCTTTAGTCAATTAAATTGTATAGAAATGAAAGTAATTACCTGAACAGAATAAGGCTTTAATTTACTAAAGAATGACACTTGGAACATGTTAGGAATTGTGTACAAACAGTCAATTAACAAAAACATAAATAACATATGATTCAACAATTTAAACCTAAAGTAAAGAAAGAAAGGCAGAGTATAAAAATAACAAAAATGTTACATCTGATTAACGTATACTTGCAATATCATGAGTCAATGCTAAGTCTAAGTTCTTGTAAATGAGATCTCTGCTTGTAGTATATCTGAGGTCAATGGTACATCTGGTTCTCATAAATTAATTGTCCACTTGCAGTATCCAATTCCAATGGTATATTTGGATTGGATCACATAAATAGAATGCCTTGTTGCAGTATCCAAAGTTAATGGTCTATTTATTTGGTTCACATAATTGAGATGCCTATTTGCAGTATCCAAAGTTAATGGTTCATTTGTTTCACATAAATGGAATGCCTATTTGCAGTTTCCAAAGACAATGGTAACTTATGTCTGGTTTGGAATTTATACTTGCAGTATCCAAAGTCAATGGTATATTTAGGTTTTTTTTACAGTGACAAAAAACCAATAATTTGGTTCATATAAATATAATAGCTATTTGAGTATAATAAGTCAATAATGCATTTTTTAGCTTAATTCCGGTGGCCCTAATTGGTTATTGATTTTGTAGTAAATTATGCTCAACGATATTATTCCCCGATTGTTCTTCTTTTTTGTTCTGTACTTGTGATGAGCTTTTTTGAAATTTTGATGATTTGTTTGATAACATATGTTAAGACTTTTTTGTTTATGTATTTATTGTTATCTTGCAAATAATGTCATGGGGGCCAATAAACCCATAAGATAGATACCCATAAGATAGGTCCATGATTATTAAAAATTTAAATTCATGTAGAGAAAAGCCCTTCAGTCCGATTTGTACCATTTATGAATTATACCTTTCCACAGTTGGTAACTATGACTGTGCTAAATTTATGCAGATGGCTTCAGCCGTCCAGGAGGAGTATTTGTAAAAAAAAAATACAGGAGTGTAATTTAAGAGCTTTGCTCAATAAGATACTTGCAGCTGTACCCGTGCTTTGCATTGCGGAGTGAATGCAAAAGAGAAAATTTGTCTCTCTGAAAAAAAAAATGATTCCACAGAATTTCGTCTACTGCTTATACCCAGAACCCAGTGAAATTGTTAAGGCCGGATAATTTCTATTATCTTTATATAGTTGTGTCTGAGTTTGAGTTAATATATCTGTTTTGTGCCCCTTGAACCCAAAAAAGTTATGTCTGTCCATGTGTAGTGTATGTGTGTGAGTGTCTGTCTGTCTGTGTGTGTGGATGTGTGTACAGAGATATCTACAGACCACACTTGAAGTCCAATTTTGGTGAAATTTGGTTTTTAGATACTAATCCATGGTATCTCCAGGCGTTTTTTCTATTTTTCTATTTTAATTTTTAATGGTG